GTGGAAACAAACGACGCCTCGTTTGCTTGGCAAGGTCAGCGCGAAATGCTAAGTAGATACGGATGCTATCGTTACCCCCGGAGAAAGCGATATATACCTTTAGAGAGAGAGAGAAATGTGCCCCTTATTAGTGAAAGCCGCCGATACTGAACCCTCGAACAAAAGCAAGTGGCGGTGTCAAACGCATGGAACTCGCGGGGTTATCTGTGCAAGGAACAAGAAGCGACATCCTGTTGTTATTAACGCTGCAGGTGAATGCGACGGATGGCGAGAGAGAGACAATAGAGAGAGAGAGGGGGGGCTTACGAGTAAGATCGTGCTTCGAGACCCGCAAAACCATCCATCTGCACTGCGGAGTTGCTCATTTCAGAATGCAAACGAGCACACGCGCATAGCGGCATGAGAGTCACGATCACCACCATCAACCACAGACGAATCAACATCATCATGGTTAGGACGCTGCTGCCCCCCACCACCCACCGCACGACATTAACTCGCCCAGTAACAAGACGAGTCCCGCGGTGCGATACCTGCCGTAGTCGTCGTGCATTGGCGAGGCTCGCGCAGCTGCCGGAGATTTCTAAATCGCGTATCTGCCCCCCCCCCCACTACCAAAGTTAAGGCACAATGGGGGGGGGGGGGGGTGGACAGCTCCCACGCATCACCCCCACCGCGCCGCGAAGACAGGGAGCAAATGGTGAGCGGAGCGCGACAGACACCGCGGCTCGCCGCGTCGAAGCGTTTTGTCCCAGCGAGCTCAGAGCCCTTTGTTGTTGCCGCATCCGCCGCTGCTGCCGCTATCGATACACCCTGGGATTGTAGCGCTGTGTCAGATTCCGAATGCGTATTCATCCCGCAGGTATCCGGTGAGCTATGAAGATCCTTTTTCACACTAAGTGCGCGCGTAGCGGTTACTGTCGTGTACAAGGTGGTCAAGTTGTATTGTGACCCCCCCCCCCCATTTAATTCTCTAAAACAGAAATTAATAGACAAAGGGGGGGGGGAAACACATTAGGGGTCAATTAATCGGGTGGGAGGTGGTCATGAGACATCTGGACCACTACCCTGCACACTGCAGGTGACCCCAGGCAGCACGTGCTGTGGAGCGAAACTGGACTGAGCCAGTGGCCAAACACAGTGGCGCGCACGTGGCACGCACGTGTTGTGGAACAGGTATGGTGTAGACTGTTGTGAGCATACGCGGTTGTAGGTGTGCGTATTCTGTAATGTTCATCAACCACCGCAACACCAGTACAAGGATACTCGCATTGGACTCCAGCACATACATCGCAAGCCAAGCAGGGGGACAATGTAAGTGCTAGCATTGGGGACGACCACAAATCCAAGAGGACGGTGCAGCAAACCCCCAATGCCGTTCTGCTGCACTCGCCCCCCCATCTTACCAATCGCCGCCGACCAGCGTGGTGAAGTATGGTCAAGTAACCCTCACGGCTTGGGGATGCCCTAATCCAGCAGTGGACTGATGAGCAGGGGCTACACAATTACACATATATGCACACACGTCGTCGTGCCATACACTGGTGGATGTGTACTATCATACTGTGTGTGTATGGGGTGGGCGGAAATACCCTATACCCCTGTTTGAAACGCGCCTCGAGACTACACAGAACCAAAAAGGGGATTTGGGGACTTTCCGCCCATTTTATAATGTACATCGTCGGCATGGTGTAGTGTAGACAAAGATCCCCCGTATAGCCTATAACAGACTGTTGGGGCAAGTGCTGTTAGCGAGCACCGATGAAGGCCAGAACGGCACACGATGGGTGGGCTGGGGCCACAGCAACCACGCCAGGTCGCCTTTGTCTCCCTAGTGGCGATATTTTTACGTACTGCACCAGGTACTCATTTGAGGCTGCGTCGACCTAGGGGAGGCCCGGGACCGGTTCAGATAATCGTCACTGGGCGTCGGCCGTGAGCGGGAATCGAACCCGGGTCACCAGGTTCGTAGCGCAGCAAGCGCTCACCACTACACTACCGCTCCCCACAGTGTAGACACACACACCACACAACCAGCAGCAGCACCCTCCCGTTGCTCTGCACAGTCGTGAATAATACATTGGGGCCTCGGTGTAGGATCGGGTGATTCGGGTTTCTGTGGGGAAGGTGCCCAATCTATTTTGTGTACATGTATTCGCATTATTTTTTTTCCCAGTTACCCAAGTCAAGTAGTGCAACGGTGTTCAATTGGCAGGCAAATCAAACTACAATCCGCACCTTGTGGGCTCATTCGCCTACTTAAGTGTGGGCTGGCGCTATGGTGCACAACATTCAACCTTCAAACGCCATGTGTTAATGAATGAATCCAATATTCTACAAATACAATAGCCTAAAGGCATTGAACTGCTGTCACTCAAGCCACAAGTCCAATGCATCTAACACACATCGTCATCTTACACACGACAGTATTGTGTACAATATACAAACAATACAGCGGGCGAGAGGAGGACACGTTGATAAAACGGATCATACATAGCTTTTGGTCAAACAAGAATGACGGAGTTGCAGCCAAGGAAGCGAACGCGTGTGCGGTGTGAGCACGTCCACCGCCGAGATGGAGCGATACAATCAGCTTGCGTGCGGGCGATATGTGGATCATCACGTCGCCGAAATCGAGAAGGCCTCCCTTCATCTAGCAGTGTATTGATCATGGCTGACGACTGTACAAAGTGGGCAAGATGTCGTGCGTTGGATGCTATGCAAGGCGTCTCCACACGCACATTGAATACAGGACTGCTTGCATTCCGTACAGACGTGGAGTCTACGAGCCTCATCGTCCCAGCTCAGCGCTGGCGGCGGAATGGACAACGGTTTGGATCAGAGCTTCATTTCAGCCGGAGCTGACCGGTGCTGAGCTCCGGATGATATGTATTCCCCTCCACCCCACTATCAGGGAATATCTTCCAAAGCGAAAGGAATCACTGGTTTGGCTATTCCTGCTGTCTTGATGCAAGTTGCTGTCACCATGAACAGAGGGGGGGGGGGGGGGGGGGTGCTGTGTATGTGTGACCGGGATCCTATGGGACCAGCTGTCCCAGACCCCAATGCAAATGAGAGAGCCTGAAATCACACACCCACGACCCCACTACCAACAAAAGCCCAATGCCCCATTCACATTGACAATACACAATTATGGTGCACACGAACGAGAAGAATAACAGAATGACAGCAGGCACAAAAGAACAATTCTCCTTTATGTGACATATGCCGCACTGCATTTAATACCCTGTGCCACTTACATTATATATATAGCAGTGCCATACAACATGACAATGGATTAGGCGCATACGTGGCAACACGCGTGTATTAATAGTCCCCTATTCACGATTTGTAACAACGTCGCGTTTCCCGTGCAATTGGAAACAAAATGCTACGATAAAAAAAACCCCACAAATGTTATATCCGCTGCGCCCACTGACAGCGGCATCAAGGATTCCGTGCCATTCAACAACCCATCCGAGTCTAGGCCAATGCGCTCCACTAAAACAAAAACATCGCGCGGACAAAAACACACACGACTCTCGGGCACTATAAGGGATGGCCGCAAAGGGCACCGTTTTAACCACAACAACGCTCCAGTCCGCCTGGATTCCCAAAATTCGCATGGTCACTCTCCGCAATGATGCACGTGGGCATTTGCGTGCGCGACGCTCGTCAATCTCGTATCCGTGTCGGGTGCGCGCATCTATTGAGTGGCTCGAGGTGTCCGTATAGATAGGGGAGATACAAAGACGAAGATCCCCCGTATAGCCCGTGACAGACTATTGGGGCAAGTGCTGTAAGCGAGCACCGATGTAGGCCGGCACTGTGGCAGGCGAGGGGGTGGGGTGGCCAGAACCACCTTTGTCTCCCAACCAGCGATTTTTGCACACCGCAGCAGATACTCATTTGAGGCCGAGTCAACCCAAGGGAGGCCCGCGACTGGTCATAATAAGCCTCACTGGTGTTGGTGGTGGCCGTGAGCGGTAATCGAACTCGGGTGGCCGTGTTCACAGCGCAGCGCTAACCGCCGCACCACGACAATCTACGTAATCACACGCAATGTCAGAATTACAGCCGGCATCACCATCATCGTCACTGTCACATGTATGGTAAACCTCCATACACAGTACTGTGCCCGTGCTCGTCTGCTGCACGTGCCGCGTGGTTGTTGGTCCCTGCCGTTTTCAAGACGCACCCACGAGACGTGTCAGCTGCGTACGGGGCTCGTGCGTAACGCGGGTGGGTGGTGCGAAACGAGCACACGACCAAATCCATAGGACACAATGATCCCACGAACAACAGTGACAATGTATAGTGCCCTACCCAAGACGCTCTGCTGGACGTACCGCGCCGGACAGTTATGATGTGTCCGTTATTCGTAGGGAATTCACTGCGAGCGAATGAATGAATGACTTTTACACGCGAGATGGGCACGCGTGTGTGTGTCAAATATGGAGTAAAGGTGGATGGCGGTGTTATTCACAGTCGTCGGTGAATGAAGGACAGCCGTGATATCAATAGCAACTCCCTGTACAATGGTCACAGCTACAGCGGGGACTGTAACTCGTCGTGCATGCGCTGTTGGAACACTCCCCAACGCGGGAACTGGCCAAACATCATCGCAATGCACGACCGCTCCTGAAAATGAGCGATGAGACTCGGCGATCTCTTCCGAGATGAGTAACTACAGAAGAGGGGGGGAGGCGAATAGAAACGTGAAGTGTCCATCACACACATGCGTACCGCGCCTCGCTATATGACACAGAATTTGCAAAGCGACACAAAAAGATCCCGAGCCAGAGATGCCCATTGTCACTTGAGGTGTACCCTACTGGTGATGGGGCCGGCGGATGGGCACGGACACATCCAAATCTGCCGCTACGGTATTATATTATTATAATTGGAGGAATAACAACGCAGCAATAACAACGCAGACACGCGGAGGAGTGTGGGGAGAGAGAGGTATGGGGGGGGGGGTGAGTACGTGGGAATTAGCTCACCAGGTTGAGCACGGTCTCCACGATGTCGCGGGTGGACACCTCTCCAACCTGGATAAGCCCAATGAGGACACCGAATTTCATCCGCATGTTGCGCAGCGGCAGCGCCGGCGCGAGGCCGCCAGCGGCGGCGGCAGCAGCGGCAGCCTCGGCCGCCGCCATGCCTTGGTGTCTCTCCCCCAGCCTCCCTCCGTGTCTCTCTTGAGTCTCTCTGTCTGTCCGTCTGTGTCCTTCTTCAAATTCTTCTCCTGCTGCTCGCTCTCCTCCTTTTGGTTGCGCGCAGCCTCGCGTCACCGTCGTCTCCAGGCTACGAGCTGTGCGATGTCCGCGCGTCTCGTGTAGGGCTCCTTGCGAGAGTCAGACCACCCTCCCTCGCACTCTCTCTCCCCTCCTCTCTCTCTCTGGATCTCTAATCCAGGCCTCCACGCTGCGGCTTGAATGGTAGTTGGCAGGCAAAGCAGGTGGGTAGGCAGGTCGGTTGGCAGGTAGATGCCAGGGTCGGCTGGGAGGTGTGGCACGGTGGGTGTAACTCGGGGCCGATCCGGCCGGATTTGCCCGTTAGGGCAGAGTGGAGGGAGGGAAGGATGGGCGGTGGTGGTGGTGCTTCTGCTGCTGATGCTGGTGGTAGCAGTGGTGGTGATGATGTTGATGGGTAGTGGGGGTGGGATGGTGGAGGAGGGGTGGTGTGGGAGGTGCAGGTGCAGCCCTCCCGGCCTTCAGAGCAGCAGGAGAGGAGGCTTGGATGATGTGCGCAGAGAAGATTTTTTTTTCTCTCCCAGCCACATCCCGCCCACGAATCACGCCTTGTGCAGCTGAAAGCCAATGAGAGATGGAGGCTACAGAGCCGGGGCTGGGGTCTCTTTGTTCTTAAGGATGCCTGTGCCTCGTTAATGTATACGTTATGACACGTGCATTCAGAATGCAAGATGGACCGCAGTGCTAATCCATATGTCATTGCGGGTAACGCACACACTGATTACACACTTCATTATTCGTACACTTGGGTATGTTGCTTTTCATTATTTAATTGAGTCTTTCAAAAGTATTCCAATCGGCTCTTATTCACCTCTCTGTTACATAATTTTTATCCAAATCAGCCTTCAAAAACTCCCCTCGGAATACATACTCTGGTGTGTTTTACAGCTGTTTACATCTCAACAAATATCTTGTTGATCATACCTGTTGTACAAATTTATTTTCAGAATAAAAATCAACAAACCACTTTAATGTGCTTAAATAAAGATTTAATCTTACATTTAACCTTCTATGCCATGGATCAGAAACAGTTGTTATGATCTCAATTCATATCCAGATAGCATAACAAAACAGTGAGGTGTGACATTGGAATCCAGCAGTTGATAGATCATGGCTGATAATGATTGAGTATTTTTTGCAAAAAATTGCACATGTACTATCTTTGGGAATATAATAATTACGTTGAAACAATACATATTACAATTAAGTATGCTAATTTCGTACCCCAGCTATTTTGCATGAAATAATTATGTAACAATATATCCGTCTTCACCACGTTATAAAGTGCACTGTTTTCCCCTGTATTGAAAAGCAAAAGTTGGGGGTGCATCTTAGAATCCGATATGTGTGAGACGAGATTTGTTTAACTTTATTAACACTGGGAACGCAGGTTTTGGGTGTATCTTACTTTCCAGGGAATCTTATAATCTGGAGAATGCAGTCCTCTTCATTACAATCATTGCCCTTCCTAACTGTAATACGTAGTAGTTATTAGTAGATAAGTCAATTAAATGAAGTGATAATATACACATATATATCTTGCTTTTATGCGTTACACCTAATATCAAAACTCAACAGCCTAAATACCATATGGGCATTTTGGAACATCGTCGAGACTGATGCTGGGAATGATTGTGAAAATTCTGCAATGCTGTGCACATGCAAAAAAAGTCAAAGAAAAAGCGTTCTCATAACCAAATGAACATTCAGCATGTCTCATCATTGTTGCAGGTCCTGAGCCAATTGTGGAAACTCCATGTGCCTGGACTGGGACCAAGTATAGCCTTAGATGCAGTGGTTCTTAACCACTACGGCAGCCTTGCACCCCTTTGGTTCTCAACCGTTACAAAAATTTACGTTAATAAATCCATAGGTTTAATGAAACAGGGTAGTTGTACTTACGCGCGCATGCTTAATTCGTGTATCGATGATTTACCTTCTGAAAATGACTGGCATGTCTCGCACCACCAGAAAGGGAATCTCGCAATCCCAGGAGGTGCATGCACCCCATCTTAAGAACCATTGACATTTCACAATGTTATCCGATTAACACTTTAGCCTGGTCCTCCGATTTTAAGAGCTTCAAAAATACATAACGCTTAATAATGGTTTAAACGTGATACTGTAGCACTATTATGAATCTTAGAAGCCATTTGGTCAAACAATATCCTCACTGGTGTTGTGCTTAAATAAATTTAGTTTGTTTTAACTTTCATTTATCTTTATAATTCGTATTCAACATGTAAACGCACTAAAGTGAAGTACGTGAATATACAAACAAGGGCCCCCAAAACGAGAACAGCCCCAGGCCCATATTTAACTTAATCTAGCCCTGGCCAGGATTTGAACTCACAACTTTCTACATGTCCGTCAAGCATTCTACAGCAGCATGGTCCGGCGACAGACTCACACTCACTTACATTCACTCCACAATATGCATGCATCAACTTGTTTGCACATGAATGGAAAAGGAAATGCAATGATATCCAGTCAAGGCATGCTCCATTCACTCTATCTGCAATCAAAAGTACTTGTTTGAGCTGCTCTCTTGAATGCAGTGTCTTGCATTTCAGAAAGAAAGAAAAACTCTGCACAATTTGTATATTGTTGTTTGTTGAGAAACTTCTCTTCATGCAACTCTTGTTGAATGTTCCATTGATGACACTCTGAAGTGCCGGTGGCACTTCAGAGTGTTTTACACGTGTTCAGCGACTTACATCTCATCTCAACACATTTGAGAGGGCACCCCCAGTGGTAGCTATCCCTGTGGGCAACAAAGTGATTTAGCACCTGGCCTGCAATTGGGCATGGCTGTCCAGTACGGGGCTATGACTGCTCTGAACATCCAAATGTAGTCATTTATGGGTCATTTTCGAAATTTGCTCAAATATTGATCATAAACACCGGCACACAAGTAGCCTACTCATTAGCAATGACGTCACTGCCCCAATTAAACTTCCTCCGTATACTCCTGCAGGTGGAGCCATAATTTGTTTCCCGCGGTATGAATGATGCTGTATGTCAGAGGTTATTTGTTGCATTGACTTGAATCTTCGGAAGTGCAATATCGATCCATGGAACATGTGTAGTAGCCACTGTGAAAAGTGTATTGCCTAAACCGTGACTGTTTTCCAGCAGCTAAATCCATTCCCCGAATAAAATTCAGCAAGTGAATATCTCATTTTGATGTTTTGGATTGTGACCAATGGAATACTGTCAGCCACTGCAAAAAGTCACGTCAAGAGTTATGCGAAACAAAGGAGATATCTCAAGCAAAAGCTGGGCGAGAGCACAACCCCCACTCACTGACATGCAAAGACAAAGATCCCCCGTATAGCCTTTTTGACGGTTACTGAGCTGCATTGGCTTCCGGTTGCCGCACTAATACATAAGGTCGCACCCATTACATACAAAGTGCTTGCCAAAAATGAACCACGATGCCTTACTGATCTCGTCAAGGAACATAAACCATCACGCGAACCCCAGTCATCCTCGCAGTGGCTTTTGGCTAGTCATTGAACAAAGACGGTCACTGCATTTCACGCTTTCAAATGTGCTTCTGTGGCCGTCTGGAATGCTCTTCCTTCCGATATTAGGAAGCCACTGAAGATGTGCACTAGTCAAGCTACGTAGAAAATTAATTTCTTTAGAACTGTTTTATGTTGTGTTTGTTGTTCTTCTCCCGCATCTCCGATTAGCACGGTTGGCTACGTACGGTGTGAAAGAAGTTCAACATACTGTACATACAACAGACTGTTGGGGCAAGTGCTGTTAGCGATCACCTATGAAGTCCGGCATGGCACACGAGGCGGTGGGTGGCCAACAACCACGCCCGGCCGCCTTTGTCTCCCCAGCGGCGATGTTTACACACCTCACCAGCTACTTATTTGAGGCCGAGTCGACCTAGGGAAGGCCCAGGACCGGTTCAGATAATCGTCACCGATATTGGCCGTGAGCGGGAATCGAACTCGGGTCGCCGGGTTCGTAGCGCAGCGGGCTAACTGCTCCACTGCCACTCCCCACACTCACTATGTAACATATTTAGTGACACACTGTTTAACAGTGAACAATGATTAAACCAAAATATAACATCATCACATTGCTGAAGAAAAAAGTCTTCATTCCTATTAGCGTTTATTACATTTTCTTTTTGGCTAAGACTGCATAATGCTTTACAGCATATTTTCATTATGCAATGAATTTTGTTTATTTCCAAGGAACCCCGGTTGGCATTAAAGGTTTTACACGCATAAAAGAAACAGCTTCTAGTGTCACAATTTAAAACAAACATTTTCCGCACCTAATTTGTTGATGCATTAATACCTTTTTTCTCAAAATATGGTGGTAATGTAGCCACTCAGTGAGCGTTTCTCTTGTTATTTCACCATGTTTCAGCGGTCACGGAATTGCACGATACAATACATTTCTCCTGCATTAAACTTGTTAACCATGTGTGTAATATTAATGCAATGAACTGGACTGTGCAAGGTGGTGGCAAAAAAACACATTCACTGTAAATATAGAGTCTATGAAAGATTTCTCAATGAACGCCGTTAATAACACTGTGTAACAAAACAATTTTTTATTCCTGGGTAGTAAGCGTTTTTTCCTAATTTATCATGCCTCAAAAGTACAGAAAATGGCTATTATTCCCCACAAACTTTGCTTTTGTGACCAGGACAGTGATATTTTTAAATTGACCTATTTTCCAGAACATTCCAGATAGATTCAGTGCTGAGTAAACTTGGGGTAACTTCTGGAACATTTTAGAACTTTCCAGTAATATAAATAGTAGTATAAATACAGGGGCCTTAAGCCCACCAGTTCAGTTTAGTTCCAGCTGCCTAAGTGCATACATATCTGCATTTTTTTGAGATGGCATCAAGAGGCTCGAAGCATCCGGCAGACGCATTTTGCTATGTCTGCGGCCAATTTATCAAGACAAGAGCGAAAAGTACACTGTGGAAGCCTCTGCTAAGATGTGGGAGGCCTACAAGGCATATTTCGGCATGCCTGTCGGAGATCAAGACAAACCCAGGGCACCTCATTTCACCTGCGAGCAATGCAACAAAAGTCTGGAAGGTAAGATGAACAATTCTTGCTCGAAATTTGACGTTATAAAATTTGTTCAAATTTTTACAATTGTAAAAGTTTTTCATTTAAAATGTTTACAATTTTCAATGTTATTGAAAAATAAAATTAATAGAAGTAATAATAGAAATAAAATAATAAATCACGACGTTTCGGAGGCAACACAAGCTTCCGTCTTCAGGTGGAACCATCACAGCACAATTGCTGTATCTCTTTACTTGATACAGCAATTGTGCTGTGACGGTTCCACCTGAAGACGGAAGCTTGTGTTGCCTCCTAAACGTCGTGATTTATTATTTTATTTATATTATTACTTCTGTAATGCGGGCGTAAATGGGCGGGGCGGATATGACGATCCGAGAGGGAGGAGTCAGGGTGACGTGGGGGAGAAG